AAGAGAAAGCCTTTTTATTTAAACTCATTACAAGCACGTGTAAAAAATATAAACATGTGAATTTTATAAGGCAAACAAATATCTACATGGGAGTTTATATCTTTGTTAAGTACTTACATTAAAATGACTTTCTAATTGTAAGACTGTCATTAAATTAGCCTTAAATGCCTTATACCTTTTCCATTTGATCAATTGCTAGCTCCATCCAATTTGAACCCGCCATCATATTTGATTAGTTCCCTCGCATTCATCGTTCTCAGCTGTTCAAATTGCGCTGCCCGTTCTTTGATTGATACAGATGATAAATTAGTTTGCGCCGAGGATACACTCAAATGTGAATGATGAATTCATTTAGCTCATGGCCAAATCAATCAATCAAGCAAAGGTCCTAAATTTTCCACGTCTGCAATGGTGGGCATTGCCTAGGTTTTCAGCTGTCCTTTTCTAGCTTATTTTTCCTCTTATTTCCATATATCAGTTTGGCATTTTTCTTCGCTTTTTTTCTGAGCGGTCTTATAGTTTTTAGCTTGGCGTCATTAACTAGGCAATTATCTAATGCTGACAGACTTAACTTTTTTGCAGCCTAATTTAATGGAGCATATCTGATATTAGACCAGCATATTTCCACTAACGAGTTCTTGTGCCATTTAACTGGCACTCTGATTGAATTACATTGAGTCATGTTTTGTCTGCGGGTGCTTTTCTGTGGTCCTTTTTGCATGGTTTTGATTGGCCAACTTAATGGCTTTGTAATGATACCACATTGATTGGCCTTAGGGGACAGGGCTAAAATAATTTGTTGTCCGATCAATGTCCAGAGATAGGACAGGGGTTCGAGCTTCGAGCTTCGAAACTCGAACCCACCCCCGATTGGCTTTCGGGCAATTTGTCAAGGAGGCTTATTGAGGTTACGGAACCAGTGTATTGATTTGACATTACATTTAGCTATGGCCTTAACATAGAACTGGTCATTAGCTAAAACAATATTAATAAAACTTTAAAGCGAAATAAATTTAAAAAAGCTTTAAATTTATAGCCAAGATAATTTTCCACATGGCTATGAAAATTAGAGTATTTTAAAGAAGTGCCCGCAGTCCATTTATTTCCATCAGACTGTCTACCATTTTATGCAAATCTACCGACAGACAAAATAATCATAAGCCAACGCAAAGCCAAGAGAAAGTTTTTCGATTTCGTGCGTAAATTATAAACACAAATATCCTTAGGAAGATTTGCCCGAAATTATGAGAACTTAGCCGCAAAGTTTTTTTTTTTGCAAGGGAGACGGGACATAAATCAAACATTCAGATTGGAGCAGTCTGGAGCTCAATTATGCAAATTTCACGTTAAGGCAAAACCATAAAACGTAATAAATATAAGCAGTCGAATAAAAAGGACAAATGTCGCATGCTCGTGTGTGTTTGTGTATAAATCAAATTAATGTGAACCAGCAAAATGAAAGCGAGCCGAGCTTACGCAAAACGCAGGCGAAAGTAGAGACCGTCTGGCACACGCGGCGTATGCGTAATGAGTGCAGACGTATGCGCAATTTTATGAATAATTGACAGCTGAACTTTAACAGCTGTCTGTTGCGCTAAAAAGAGCCACTCACTCAGGCCAAAAAAGAAGCACACACTCATACCCACAGCCCCAATGGCACATCCTTCTTTGGGCAGCCATCAAAGGTCCGCGGCAATTTACATACACAAATAAAACCAAGTAAGGACGAAAAAGGAGTGTGGAGAGCGGGTACTGTAATGGCAACCAGCTGCAGCTGCTCATCATCATCATTATTTTAAATAAACATTACGCTTGGCTTTATAACCATTTATCACATTTGCAGATTTATGTCCTGCCATTTGGCCATGCACAAAAAAAAGGGCGAGGAAAATCAGTACTCGGGTAAATTAGCCAACTCAGAACGAAGAGGGGATGTCCTTTAAAAATGGTATATAAAGGGTGCAAATTAATTATCTAATTTATGCAATTAAAATTAATTTTTCTTAATCATGTGAATAGTTTGAAATATCAAACAAATATTCCGTAAATAAAACAAGCAGCTGTTAAAAATATTTAAATTGTTAAATTACTCAAATAAATTTAATACAATCTATATTATTAAATTAAATGCAGTTTATTAGGTTCTGTAAAGGGTATTTAAATAAATTGTAATTTTAATTTCAATTGCAATAGATTAATTAAAACCCAATCTTAAATTTAATAAATAATGTTTACATTTTGATTAAACAGAATTGAATTAAAATTAAAAACAAATCACGAATATATATTTTTTTGAATGTGTAGCCTACTCAGTTTATCATAGGATGGGTTACTTCGTAGATGCATTTATTGAGTGGAGCCCCATCGCAGAGTATTATAAATCATGGCACGTCTAACGACCACAAGTAGCGGCTGCAAAAAAGCAGGAAATCATAGCAGGTCGCTTAGCTGAATAACAAAAAAAAATAGCCCGCCGTTTCGAGGATTTTTCAATCTCAGCTGCGTTTTTGAGTCCTTCACACGGCATACATATATATTGATTTTCGCTATTTTTTTTGCGCCCCGCTTTCCCTTTTTCATACATATGCCTGCGAGTTTGTGCATGTATACATTTCAGGCGAGGCTGTCCGTTTTTAATGGTAATTGGTGCCTGCATAACCATTAAAGGGTTTTATGTGAATGACGTGGACGTTACGTTGCGAGTGTGTATTTGTGGCGAGTAGGCACTAATTTTAGGTACGTGCCAAAGACTAGGCGGGCCATAAATGTGGGTTAGCTGGGCTTATATTTGGATAGTCCCGAAATTCAGTTGATTGATATTTTTAAAGCTGCTAGATATCAACAGCTTTTTCAGCTAGATTATTTACAGACCAACTTTGCGGAAAAGTTAAGCTGCGCTTGAACTTTGTTCAGAACAACGATTTATCAGGCAGCCAAAACTAAAATATGAGTTGAAATATATATAATTGTTTTTTAATCGCTTGGGTTGAATAAATTCTAGAAGTCTACAGAACTTCTAAAAAAAAAGATCTCAATGAAAGTTTCGGGCTCAAAATTATATTTCTCTACCTGGTACATACATTTCCACGAATGCAGGGATAAAAACAATTTGCAAAGGTATTTTATTTCTGCCCAGCATAGAAATGGATTCGATTGTAACTTTAGCCGGCAGACAGATTCTCCTGTTGCCACCTGACCATCGCCACGTGTCAGTTCCAGGCTGTCAACTTTTATTGTTAGAGAAACGAATACGATTTCTTCTCCTTCTTTTTTTTCCAAGAAAAGTGGCCGGCCAGGCCAACAAAGTACGGGGCCAACAACAGTTGGCCATTTTGTCTGGCCAAGATTTATGCGCGATTGCTCAAGTTTTATGAGTTACGTAGTTGCACTTAAGCTTAAAGAAAAAACAAAAGGCCGAAGCGAAGAATGGGGATTCTTGTCGGGATTGAAATCGCTCATCTCCAGGCCCGCATCCTGCTGCTATTTCATTATGAGTTAAGCAAAGTTTTTATGACTCTACCATTTTTTTTGCGCCAGCGACAGATTAAGCGGCTTTTATACGTCAGGCACAAAAACGCAGGATTACACTTATGGCCGAAAGGTTAAAGTGCACAAAAATTTAACTGAGATCCAAAGGGTCAACTTGGCTAATGGAGATTTACATTCGTCAGCGATTTTTGTTTTTTCGCCCTCGCCATTTGGAAAAATGTTATTAGATGACTCTTCGGTTCCCGTGGCATTTGTCAACAGGAAACGGATATGGCAAAGCTTGTCTAATAAATTCTTTGATGTATTTGCTCTGACGCTTCCCCTGGGAACGAACTGAGCTCAGCTCAACGCGAGCAGGATGTCGTACTTTATTTATGCCACTGCCAGACGCATTTCCCGCTCCCAAACGAATCATAAACTTGACTCAATGCCGTCATCAACAATTACGAATGTATCCCAGCCGACCAACGAAAAAAACCAAAAAAAAGGACATCCATTACGAAGGCCGCCAGAAAGAGAAATGAAACGTAGTCTACTTGGCGGCTTTCTACTCTGAAAATTTCCACTGTTGCCTAAGCAAATATTTGACCCATCGAAACTTATACTACGTGTCTACAAGGAATGGGCAAACAAACGAAAACACAGCTCAAACAATCTATGCCGTATCAAATGCCGTTTGGCCTCCCCCTACAAAACATGAGAAGCCAAGAAAGTAACCAAATTTGTAGAAAATCCTAAGGCTTTGCTGTGTTAACACGACACCCGTGTGGAAAAAGCATTTTGTTTATTTTCTACATTGAAACCGGATTTTTCAGAAATTTATCCTTGCAAGGAAAATACATTTATTTATGTTTTCTTACTTTTTGCAGATGATAATCTCATGCAAATTTAAATGCTGTCACTTTGTGAATTTTACTCAAGGGGAAAAGAGCAATTTTTTAGTATTCTTCTGAGAATGTTTTCATTTATTAAAAATTTATTATTTTCTTACCCAATAAATATTATCATATCTTGGAAATTTATATGCCGTCACTATGTAAATTTTATTAAAAGGGTAAACAATTAATTTCAGGAACTCTTACTAGGAATTCAGTTTTTATTTTTTACTTCATGTGAATTTATTTTATTCTTAGAAATAATAATAAAATAATAATTACAGTCTCATGCAAATTTAAATTCTGTCACTTTGTAAATTCTACTATTTCATTTGTTTTATTCTTCTGAGGATAATTTAATGTATGTATTTCTACTCAATTAGATTTTTAGTATTCTTCTGAGAATATTTCCATTTATTAAAAGTTTAATATTGTCTTAATTAATAAACATGATGGCATGTTGCAAATTTTTATGCTGTCACTATGTAAATTCTTTTCAATAAGAAAACAATTAAAATAAAATTTTATAATAGAAATAAACCTATTGTTTTTTTTTAAATTTTAATCAAATAATTATCCCAGCAACAACTGGAATTTATTCCACCTGTCAGGCCGAACCTTCTCCCACGTCTCACATTCATTTGGCTTGTCTCGATTCAACAACTGGTTACAAAATCTTTTAGGAAAAAAATTGAAAAATTTCCATGCTGAGAGGAGAAGAAAACGGCTTGAAGAACAGAGGTAAGACCGATTCGCGATGCAGGCCCACCATGCGATGCCCGATTTCCGGTGCAGGAACAACTGCCAGCACAAGGAGTGCCAACGACATGCTCCTTTGGGCATAATCGATCAGCACACGCAGTGCAAGTGTCTGGGCGAGGTGAATGCCTCCTCGATATTCCTGGAGAACGTCCTCGATTTGGCCAACACTTTGGCCCAGGTGATGATCATCTGCGGACTGCACGAGTGCAAGGCCAAGTCAACGGTGGACATCATCACCTATGCCTTTCTGCACTACGATCAGGTGTGCTATTGTATAGACACGACTCCTAAGAAACGTTTACGGAAAGAGGATTTGTTCCACGAACTGGGCAAAAAGTCGCTAATGAACAAGGTTGAGGCCCATCTGGCCTACTCGATTATTAAGAGGGGTTTTAAGGCCTTCTACTATGAGCCCAAACAGGAGTTGACCTACGACGATCAGGGACGACCCTCCTACAACGACGAATGTGTTTGGGTTCATGCCGCCCGAAAGTCGGCCGAATCCTATGCCCGATTTGACGGGCTCTCCTGTGCCGAGCAATTGGCTTACGAGGCCAAGATCAAGATAGCCTTCAAAAAGTTCTACGATCGAATGCAGACGCGCAAGAGGCAGCCGGAGGGCGACGATTGCAATTGCTGTTTCTGCGCCAAGAAGCGCGGGCATTTGGTCTACGCCAAGGAGCCGGCTCCCTGCTCCTCGGCGAGCAAAAAGAAGCCGAAGCACGTGTGTCCTTACTGCTGCAAGAAGAAACAGAAACAGCAGTACACCCACCCAGCCCGTCAGCCGGCCAAGTGCCCCAAGTGCCACAAGTCACGGAAGTTCTGTTGCTGCACCAAAATGGACTTCAATCTGCAGTGGGTCAAGAGCATCTGGGAGCGACCCGATTTCAATCAGTACTACAAGAACGAGATCGCCGAGATCGAGGACCGGCTGGTCAAGGGCACCTGCTGGCTGCCCCCGGAGCCTGAGGAGAAGATGGTCGACGATGGGGAGGGCGAGGAGGAGGAGGAGGAGGGAGCCGGAATGCCACCCGATACTCTTCTGGCTCTGGGCGGCAAAACGGTGCCCACTAACCAGGATGAGGGCAACACAACTGTTGGTGGGTCGCCAACTAAGCAGGGATCAGTCATCGAGGCCGATGCCGAACCTTAACTATGAAAGTTCCTGCGAATCTGGTCCAAATAGTTTTCAAAATTCCAGTCTTACCTTACGGTGGGCAGTTATCAAAATTTTCAGTGCCAGAAAATGTGCTAAAGATTTTATTATTAAATTCCTGCCATAGCAAGTGCTTGTACTTTTCTGTAAATCGAGTTTTCTTTTATTTTCTTATTGTGGTAGAATTTATTTGAACTATTTAACAAAATTAATAGCAAGTTCTGACCTAAACATTATCTAAAAGATTTTTTCAGAATTTAGTTAAGTAACAAAACGGCATATAAACAAAAACGCAAGAGAAGTAGAATTTCGATTTTATGGTTTTCTTCGATATTTTCAGAATAACAATGTTTTCAAGGGAAATACTCGTTAAGTAAAATATACTACCACTATAGTTTTATTTATAAGGAAAACGTCAGATCAATATCGATGTTTAAAAATATAGAAAATATCGATAAAGTCAAAATTTTCAAGCTCAATAAATTTCAATAATTTTTTATCAAATGCATTCAATTAAAACAACTCATCTATAAGTAGCTTTAAATTAAAATTGCTTATTCCAAAGCCAATAACTAATCAATAAAATGTTCTAAATGAATTAAACCATTTTTCCCTACCACTTAAACCTTTTAAAACTTAGAAAACCCTATCATTTATTTATAAACCCGAGTAATTGCTTGCAAATAAGAAGGACGTGTGTTGTGTTGTGTGTGCAGCTAACCGAATCAGCTTCCTAATGTTAAGACGGTAAATTGAGTTTGCTTTTAGGCGACACACCTAACTCGGGCAAACATGGCCCATACGATTCGCAGCCATTTGGCAAACTCACACTCGTGACTACTCGGCCACTTGGAAAACTGGCTGAGGAGGTGTCTGTGTCTACTTTGGCCGAAAGTGGCATGCAACAGTAATGGAAAATACATTTAATCTGGCTTATGCTGCAGCTCGTTCCAGTGATAACTCGGGTGCACTTCATCACAGCACTTACAGCTTATGTACCCAGCTACCCACCTCCCCTCTCTCTTAGCAGTGGAAAAGTGGAAAAGCCCTAAGGCAGGCCTCTCTCTCTTTCTCACCTGGAGGGAAAAGTGAAAAAATGCTGAAATGTTGACCATCGGTGCGACGGCTGTGTTGCCTTGAACTTCCCTTGGAAAAACTTTTTGCATTGCAAATGCATGAAAACTTTCCCTCTGTTTACGTGTGTACTTCACTCAATTTTCACTCTCGAACCGAACGAAACGCACACTTTTGGCCAACAATGTCGGCATGTGCCAGGCGAAAAGTTTGCCATTCGCCATTCTTCATTTTCCATTTTGATTTGAAACCAAATGCGAATTGGTTGGGTATTTGTGTATAATCAAGTGGGTTAGAGGCATTCACCAACCGCAGAAAAACAACGAAACAAAGCCAATGGAAATTTACACCTGCCGACCGCAGCAAATTGCAAATAAATTTAAATATGCTTTGTGGTTCGGTTTTTGGGTCATAAATAATTGCGGGGGTAATTATATTTTCCCGTTTTAGGCAAACGAACATTGAATTTGTTATTAAATTATTCAGCAGACCGAAATGCGAAATACGAATTTACCAATTCAATTATCCCGCCTTGAAGAGCCAAACGAGTGCATAATTTCAAAACCAAGTCTTAAAGGCCATTACGTTTAATGGTTATTTGTCTAATGAAATTCAGCCGAGAGATATAAATGCTGAAATTAATTTTGCACACTTTGCTGTGAAATTTGTAGCAATAACCGTAAGACCCAAATGCAATGTAATCAAAAGGCTTTCTAACTAATTACAAGTTCCGTCATAAGGTGTCAAGTGTCAGAGGAAGTTTTTTCCCCTCCCCAATTCCAAGAAACTTAATTAAGAAAGAGGGAAATTTTATTTTGCATTAGTTTGTGTCACAAGTGTAGCCAGGTTAATTTCTCACACATGCCACGGCGAAGCGTTCAGGCAAAAGAAGGTGAAAAATAAATGTTATGCATACTTTGCACATGGGGGAAAATTGTGAAAATGCCTGGAAAACTTGTGCACACACACCCGTCGTCCCTTTAAGCAAATCAATTTGGGAAAATTGTGGCTGGCGGAAGTGCACAAATACAAAATATGGGAATCGCAGGCACATCTGACCCTGCATTTGCACGTGCTATTGCCATTTCGCAGTCAACAGATACCTCGAATTGCATTTGCCAGCTAAATTGGATATGCAAAACTGAGATGCGGCAGAGTGGCCTAAGACTTCTGGGCCAAAAGCCGAAGCCGAAGAAATGCGCAAGTCACAAGTGGATTTGGATTTTCACTGGCAAAGCTCTTCAGTCGTCTGCATCTGTGGTTATCTTTTCCATCTGAATCCGAACCCCCGTCCCTTTCCCTGTAGATTCGAAATCAGACCACAGTTTTCCATTTGTGGCTGTGTGAATATGCCCTTCTTGGCTGGAAATTGGATTTTATGTATTGTGCATTTGCCATTTCAAATAATATCTTGGCCATAAATGTGTGTGTAAGTATGCTAAGCAGTTGCCAACTCAGCTGCTTGCGGATTTACAAATAAAAATCGCCATTTATCAAACGAGCCAGTGTGGAAATAGTTTTTAGGGGCCCTCAAGTTCAAGAACATATTTTAACATTGCCTTTTCTTTGCCGGAAAATCAATAAAGCAATTTCTCCATTCTAACCTTCTTTTTTCCCGACCGACGACGACACTTTTGTTAATGAAAAACTGCTGTTTTTCGCCCGGCTCAATGGTTCTATTTATATATAACCCACGCGGCGTATGAGTAACGCAGCTAAAATGTCCTGTTCTACATTCTCCATCCCCCTTTATTTTGCATATTACACGGGTGGATTTTCTGCGTCTCGCCTTGGCTTGGCCAACTTTTAGTGCGCAGCAAATAAATAATAAATGAGGCAACAATGAATGCCCAGTGAATGAAGGAAAACACTTTCAGCCGGCAGACTGGGCCGTAAAAATTGACAACATATAAAACAAATATTTCCAAGGCGAGCGAAGAGTGAACAAAAAACTGTGATCGTAAAATAATATGACGGCATAAAAGTGAAGGAGAAAATTCAAAAGAAAATACATTTAGTTATGACTCGAGGCGTCTGTGTCTGCGGGCCAAAAAGACTTTAAGGCGGGACAGAAACTATAAACATTTTTATGAACAAATTGATAATCTGGGGCGGCGGCAGCAGTGTTAAAACTCACGCTTAACGAGTGAAAATCAATTGCAATCGATTTAAACGACGGAGAAGGCGAAACTTTAATGCCCTGAAACTTTTCCTCTGCGAAATATTCGAAATATACGCGACGTAAGTGTCGTATCAGAATGAAATGCAATCTTCCACCGCAGACTTTTTAATGACCTGCCCACATTGCCACAGCCATTTTCGCTGATATACACAAGCACAAACACGATGATGGCCATTTGTTGGATATTATTCGGTAAGCCAGTTGACAGTTTACCGAGTTAATGGGGACAAAGTGTGGATTGATCGGTGTCCGTGGGCAACGCGGCGTATACGTGACCCAGCAGAAACAGCGAGCCCATCGAGTCACTCAATTTGCATACGCACATCTACTAAATATTCAAAGATTTGCATATCAGTGGCCGAGTTTGCAAACTCTAGGGCCTCGATATAAATCTTGGCAATCAAGCATAATTAAACTGTCAGCATAATTTAATTTATCGCATACATTGCATCCAAAAACCATCTTCCTGTTTCATACCTTTTGGCTCACTCAATTTATGGCTTTTGTAAATTACCAATGAAATTGCCCTGTCCAGGCCAATATTTTCAAACATATTTTGCTCGCATTTTGTTTCACTTTCTTCGAGAATTTATACTGCCATTATTTATGGCAGTAGCTACAAACTAGCCATGGCAATAACAATAAATATTTCCCTTTTTCAACAGGGTTTTTCTTTGGCCATATCATGTCTGTAAGGGTATTGCAACATTGTTCAACACCTGCAATTCGGTAAGCTATTAATTGGTTTCAAATATTTTCCTTCTTTTTAATGACACTTTGGAAATGTGTGACACATTTTTGTGAATAGTCGAATATGAAAAGCTTTCTACTTGTAATAACATTGACCTGAATGCATTTTAATTTGGTCTATGTTGATACAATTATTTACAACTAAGTCAGTCATAGAAAAAAGAAAAACCATTTGCACTTTACAAAAAGAAATGGGACCCCCTGGTTTACAATAATCAAGTACCGTATTTTATTAAGAACCTTTCTTCCTCAATTCAATTTTTTTTTAATATTTATAAATAAAAGTAACCCTACACGTTTATTGCGACCATCCCTATTATTATCTCGCCCTTTTCCCCTTTTTCTTACAATTAAAATCCGCTGCAAATATCCCATTAAAAGTTTACCCCCAGCTCGAATTTCGCATCTCTTGGCTTACTTATAAACCATTAGAGACCACGCAAAATGATCGACCAAGAGAATTAATTAGGAAACATGGTCCAAAAGTCGAGGGCCGAAAGTTGCTAATAAAATTATTCAGAGCCTTTCAGTTTCAGGTTCAAGACCATGGCATCTGCCGTTTTGGCCTAAATGCTTTTGGGATAGCTAGTTAGTGCTAACTGGAGTCTAGTTGGCTCTGTTGGCAGCTTTTGAATGCCAAACCTTGTTGTTGTTGCTGTTGGCCATAATGCGCGGCGTAATCACGTTTCAGCTTTTGCCTGAGCGCTCTGCTGATTTTGGACTTCCAGTTGCGCTTGCTATTTGCGGCTCTGCTTTTATGGAAATTTCATTCTGCGCCAGCTGCAGTTGGAGCGATCACGTAAGTGGAAATGGCCAAGTCCACGGACTGTTTTGTAAGCCAATATGTCCGTCAGCTGGCTCAGTGTTCAGTTTTCAGTGTTCAGAGAGTGCTTGCACACTGGTTGCAGCCTTGCCTCGAACTCGTATTTTTGTGGCCCCAGCTATTTGCATGTGGAGCACGCCCCAGCGAATGCCAGCCAGTATGCTACGTTTTGTTTGCCATTTGTTGCCGCTTAAGTCACCGCACCACACACATCGGGCAGCTGGGGGAAGAAAAAAATGCAGAGGGACCTCCCCGGCCAACTGCCACGATTTTTGGCCATTTTCTTCGAACACATTAGCCAGAAAGAAATCAAATATTGCATAATTTATGCCGTAAGACTGGACTGGGTGCGGTCATAAAACTAATTGAATTATTCGCTTAATATTTATGATACTCTAGGCGACGCTACTAAATGAATATTTAAAGGGGAGGAAATGGAAATTTACGAACCAACACATATGTTACTTAGAGAAAATCAATCGAAGCTGGGAAAAAAAAATGAATATATTTATTTTATGACTTGTTAAATGTTTTCCTAAATTTTTTTTACGGAATTCACAAGCAAAATTGAATTAAAATTTCTTTGCGTTAAATGCTTCTTTATAAATTAAGTGACATTTTGATATTTTCATATATTTTTATATTAGGCTTTTTAAAAATGTTAGGAAAATTTAAAAAATCTTTTTAAATATATATTTTTTATTACGCCATAATATAAAACGAAAGTTTTAAGGAATCGCCGGGCAAAATGCATTGACCATCAATTTTGTCGGCTCCAATTAAGGTTCTGGTTCTGATATGAACCCATTTTAAAAAGTGTCAATCAATTTTCTACCGAGTGCCAGCAGTGAAAGCGAAAAACAATGCAGCAATCAGGAATAATGAATGCCTTCGTGATGAAAAGGAAAAGGAAGTGACGCAAAACCCTTTCAAGCTGTCACTGGTCGCTGGGCGCTGGATTCCGGAGTGCTTTCAGCCAGACTCTGTTGAATTCTGGCGGTGGCACATTTATTAACTGCCCCGGGATCGTCCAACTGGGCAGCTGACCAAAAAATTACGACCACCACACAATGCCACGACCTGCCAGGCAACCCACGCTCGTTATCGTCCGTCACAAAGCCAGAATGCCATGGAGCACAAAAGCGAGCCACAATAAATAAACCCAGTAGAGCACCTCTAACCGAAACGAAACCCAAGCCCAAACCGCCAAAAGGAACCACCAAAACCGAGACCAAACTCTAAAACCAGGAGCCAATGTTAAGTAAAGAAAGCAAGCGGGTTAACAAGCGCCGAGAAAATGCAGCGACTTTCTTTTCTGCGGAAATTGCAGCATAAAATATGTTGTCACTGACAGGAAAACTAAAATTATTACACTGCCCCGCAAAGTTGGTCTTTCAAGCGAAATTGCAAAGGGGAAATTGCGACAAATTGGTTAAGGTTTATCTGAACAAAAAGCTTTTAGCATTATATTTTCAGGGTACAGAATTTTAAAGCGCGAAAAAACGCAGAAATTGTTTTATAAAATATTTAAGGTAGATTTATTGTAGATCAAAATAAAATTTCTATAATTTTGTATCTATCATTTAATAAAAAGCCATCATTATTATTAACTCTTATATTATTTCAGTGATTATTTTATATTTTTTTACCACTTTGTGCCGTGTTTCAAATGAAACCTTGAGTCCTTTCTGGAAACCGTTGCCACTTTGCGGTTGACAGGCTTGTGATTCTTCAAGCGGTGTAAATGGATTTTTTTAGCGTTTTCAACGAGCAATTACTGCAAAAGGTGGGTAAAAGGAATCGAGGAAATAGTGTTCCCTCCATGAGGTAAATGCATAAGCTGTCAAACTGTCGAGTGCAGGGAATTTAGAAATTCTATAAATTTAGTTTTCACCAAATTAATATTAGTTGACCGGGTAAATCGACATTAAGCGTTTAATGGAGCGTCCACAAAAATTAGTATAATACAATAATTGAACTTTGCATATTCATGAACTGGTTGGCCGTGCGACAGGCGGCAATTAATGACCAATTGAGCAACTGACTAATTGAAGTCTATTCGTGGCCCATGGCCATAATGCCGCAAATTAAGTTGGCCAAACACTTGTTCGCCAATTTATTGTCCAGGCTTGAGTTAATTACCTATTTGGTTAGAGGGTCCGCAATGCACACATCAAATGAATAATTTAATTATAACTGGAATCATTTCTGGCATGCTTCGAATGCCACAAATCAACGTCGGTTGGCCTACGGGCGTTAATTAAATAATATAAAAAGTATTTGGAAAAAATCAGTGAAAATTCCGTCACGAACAAAATGGATGGGAAAACCCATCATGGAAAATGCAATTAAAAAATTTCCCTCTGCCTTAAAATACCATTTACATAAACTTTAAACGGAAAGCCAAAGATTTTCATCGGTGGCCACTATAAACACGCGAATGGAAAATCCGTAAAACTGCAAAAAGGAGAATGGAATGGAAAAGAAGAAAAAAACAAACATAAATAAAAAGAACGTGCACATTAATTATGCAGCTCAGCTGCCACAACCTGAAATAGTAAAAATAAATAAAAACCAAATTAAATTAAAAGAAAAGAAAAGTAGCCAAATGCTGTGAAGGTATGCAGCAAAATGGAATAGCGTATATTTTTCTTTATTCGAATTAAAGGCTGAGTGGTGCAATAAATAAACTAGAGCAGGGGAAACTAAGCGAAAAACCAGAAAAGAAAAATTCTTCAGGCCCCAAAGGAAGAAGAGTGAAGGCCAATCTGTGAATGGAATTTGGCTCAAACAAAAACCTAAACCACCCCGAATTGCGTACACGCCAGGTGCGCCCCTAATGAGCTACCAATATATAAAGGAAATGGAGATGAAGTTCGATTTACTTACCGCTCCGCTTCACGATGGGATTGGCCATGTGTCCGTACAAACGGCTCAAATCGATGGCCATCGTGCTGCTGGTGGCCTGCAGAAGGAGCAGACAGACGGCGAATGTCGGCCACATGCTGAGGTGCTGCTGACGTGGCAGCTGCTGATGATGATGATGATGGTGGTCCATGGCCAGGGACATTTCCAGCTGGCTGGCGGAACTTGTAAAGTATCGAAATTAAAACCCTCGGCCTGATGCTAAAAGTTTTTCACACGCGCACGCACACGTTTTCCACTTTATCCGAGTGTTTTGATGAAGTTTTCCAGTTTTCTAGTTTCTCGACTTCTTCTTCTATTCCAGAAGCAGTTTTCCGGGCAACTTTTGCCGCCCTTTGATTGAATTATCGTTGGCACTTCAGCCACTGCAGCGCGGGTTTTCCCCGCTTCTCTTTCTTCGTCCTTCCTTCAGTATGCTAATCGCCTTCTAATGGAGTTATACGAACCAGAAATTAGCTGCAACTTCTTCCCGATTCCCTATTTAATTCTGTTTAGTTTATCTCGTTTCTTTATAGTTTCCTTATCGTTTACTACGTGGCTCTAAGAACTACATGCAAGCTTTAACCCGTTTGGTTTGGTTGGTTTTTTCGGTTTGTTTCGATTTCGTTTCTTTGTTTGTTTGTATTTTCGTTTCGTTGAAATTAAAGTTGAAAATAATTTTGCAGGCAAACAAATATTTATATGTGTGTATATAGATATATGTTTTTAGTCGACTTTTTACATTTTTCTACACTGCAACGAGAAGAGAAAAAGTTGAAAAGTTAGTTACGAGTTTTAAATGGAAATTTTAATTTGCAAAGCTAAGAATTTCCAACTGTCATATTTCGAAAGCATAGAAAAAACTGGAGATTAATTAAAACATAAATAAATTTTTCTTTTTGCTTCTTTTAAATCGTTTATTTCTGATGTTTAAATCGGCCTCACAGAAAAAAATACACGGCGGGATCAAACGAATATATCGATTTTACCATACAGTACTGGTAAAATTGATATTAAATAGAGCGCTTAAAGTTACTTGAGTGGGAAAATTACAATTTTCTAAAAGCACTTAACACCAGTATTTTAAGTACGATCTTTATGGCAAAAATAATTTGAATGTTCAACGGAAGCCCCTAATAGAGACCTCAAGAAGTTGACACCGATTGTGCGGTGGATTATCCGGTGATGTCTCCAGGAGGCCATTTACATGCCAGAGCAACTTGAGACCCAGTCATCTAATCAGCTTAACGAACTTTAACTTTTCGCTGCTCAAATTCCCTGGGTTGCTTTATTTTCGGCGGTGAAAGGGCGAGTGAAAGTCCACTACACGAGGGGATAGAAAGTTGAACAACCTTTTTTCGTATAATTTTTAGATGGATTTCCAGCACTCACACACTCGAGCGACTCTTAATGACTCTCTCGAGCACCCAAAACACATACGCCGCTGTAACCAAAAAGCAGCAGCACTAAAATGGAAGGCCAAAAAGAAGAAAAAAAGGGGCCAGACATAGACGAACCTTTAATTATAGCCAAGTTAACCCTTCCGTTTTTGCTCTTTTCTTTGTGTAAGCAAAAGTTGAAGAAGTGAAAAAGTGTTGTAACTTTCTGCTATACTTTTTGGGGCAATCAAAAATGGACACACGACAAAATTTCACCCCTGCTTTTCGTCAAACGAAAAAGAAACCTTGGCCCCGAAATTTGAAAAGGGAAAAGTTAAAGACAGAATGGAAAAGTGTCCAACAAGCCAAGCTTTTTAATTAGTCCTTTTTCACAGCTGTAGTCGGCAGCTCTCCACTTCTCAGAACAGCCTCGGGCATTGAATAATGAACCAAATATTTACGTAAATTAGTTATTCCACCGGGCACAACTCAGCTGAGTGATAAGTTTGGTGTTCAAAATTTTCAGCTCTTTTCAACGCCATATAAAAGTTTTCGCTAAGCCAAACTATAAAGTTTAGATTGACTTTAATTTAATGCTTGCCAAAAAGGCCAACGGGAAGTTGAAATTTTTTGACTGCTCATCTGCCACCAGAGAATTAAGCCGTAAAATCTTGTTACAATTCCCAGGAAGACATAAACTACACTCAGCCCACCGCCAAAGCAAATAAAAACAAAAATGAAGGACATAAAATTCTTTAATAGACTGAAAATGAAACTTCTTCCTCGGCTCCACCGATTTAATAAACATCCAAAAACGGCAGACTGCGACAGTTGCCCTAAAAACACGCACAAAACACAGGGACAATTTCCTGGTTGAATCGAGGAACATTTGGCTCTTAAGACACGTTAGCCAAATAGTAAATATAAGCCACCAGAGACTCACAGACAAATAGAGGAGGCCAGCGGAAGTCCAAAGGAACAGGAAAGCGGGCAAAAGTAAAGTGAGTTATGGCCAAGGCGCCAAAATGTGGCCAAATAATTCGGCGCAAATTGCTCGAATGAGAATCGACGGAGGTAAAAGGTAAAAAGAGCATCAAGTTAAGTGTGAAAAAGCATTTGTAAAGTTTGCAAAAAAAATACGTTAGATAAAAAGATTTATTGAAAAGCTAAAATTGGGTATTAAAAGCTGTACGTGGTTAAAGCGTTGTAAAACTAAATTTAAAGAAAAATAAATTGGGATTAGAAAAATATCTTTTCTCGAAATATATATTATTTAGCTATAAAAAATAAGTTTGAAAAAATTATATACAAATCAAAATGTATTTATATTAGAGCATTAATTAATACGTCTTTTCCTCAATTTTAGATTCTTTTTATGAACACTTTCTATTCGATCGGTAAAATAAACACCAATCAATTATAAACAGCATTAAAAATAAAATTAAATTTGTTTAACCTTTAAAATAGTACAAAAAAAGTTATACGACTTAAAAAATGAATTGCTTCGGGATAAAAAAAAACAATATAGAACGAAAAACATAATAGTAAGAGGAATACTTTCTAATCTTTAAAAATCATCATAAACTGGCATAACAAGATGTACAGTTCAGCGGATTTAATGGTCCTTTAGCTCATGCGCCCCAAATATTAATTTATCCTTGCACTAAGTTTCCACAAACATGAATAAAAGCCAGGTGCAGACCAAAAAACTTAAGAAAACACTAAATCTAAACATTTTGCTGGCCACCTTGGCCTGGCCTAAAGCGAAACACCAAAAGAAAGAGCGACCAAATCACAAACAAACATTAATTTGCATAATTTACTGTGGACACCCAAAAAGAAATGTGCCAGAAATTTTCGCAGCCAGTATTTTTAAACCATTTCCTTTTCTTTGCATTCATTTTCTCCTTTGTGCGAGGGCTTGGGGTTCTTAATGCATAATTTAACAGCAGCCAGAAAAGCCAGAGGGGAAAGGACAAAGGGGGCGCAGCCCGGCAACAAGAGAGCCCAAGGAAGTTGGGAACAATCAACAACTGCGTGTTGTTATTCAAAGCACACGCACACAACCACCGACATTCGCACACACTCGTCGTCTCGCACACCCAAACCACCAGCCGCCACACGGCGTATACGCAACGTGAATCATGGAAGCGGGACAAGACTAACGAGGCCTAGGCTTAAAAAAAAAATATATATAAAAAAATCCGAAAAAAATAAGAGGAGTGCTGGGGTGGCAAGTATAACGTAAAGGTAATGAAGAGCAACAGAGCGGAGCCGTAAAGAAGCAATTTTCTGCACACACAGATTTTCCTTTTCAACTCAAATTTCGAGGGAATTTTGGCGTTTTGCGCTTGGGCTTTGGTTTGGGTTTCGGGTTCTTCAACAGTTTTTCACACAATTTTAAACGGATTCAAGTCACAAGTCATGTAATAGCACACGCGTCAGTTGGAAATCCTTTTGCCACTTAAATTGTAATTTTTTGCTTGTAACAGTATATGTTTTCTTGTTTTTTTTTTATATTTTCTTAAGGGTTTTTGCTTAGGTGCATAAAGGTGGTAATACAGTACGTTTGAGTACGAGCCAACAACTCGAACAACTATTTACAACTCCGCTTGAGTGTAAGTTTCAAACTCGACTGAAGCGTTGAGCGCAATGCGTTCGTCTTTTAAGCACTTTTCCCGACACTCAACTTGAGCTTCGTCGCCGCCTACGCACGAGTCCTCGTCGAGTGGATTTCCCGGATGAGTGGAAAACCGCTTGCCGCTCTCCTGCCCTTCCCCTCTGCGGTTGAGTTTTCCCCGCGGCATTCGCTCTTTGCCGTGCTCTCAATGTCACTCGCAGGGCTCGAGCACCTGCTCTGGGCCACATTTCGTTGGCTGCGTTGATGGGTTTTGGCTGGTGGCCAGGAGCGGTTTTCTTTCTCTCCGCGGAATGGGGCCCCAAGCTAAATTTTCGAAATTAATACCCGATTTTAATTGAATTGGTCGGGTTGGGTTTCATTTAGTAGGAATTTTGGATTATTTGGCAGCACCTAATGGTTCTATGTATGCCTGTAATTCACGAGTTGAAAATAAATATAGGTTACTATTTATTATTTTAAAAAAACACTTGCTGGTCACAGGATAATATTTTATAATGATAATGCTAAATAATGGTTACTATTTATTTATTACATAAAAAAAACATTCTTTGCTCACAGAATAATATTTTTTAAATTAATTTGCATAGTACTTAAAGTAAAATGTTTTTATGGATAATCCAAATAAATATAAACAATATTGTAAAAATAGGTTCTTCTGAAAAGGGAATTGTAAAGGTAAATTTAACCTATCCATTAATTTTAAAAATTTTTAATAGAATAACTCTTCTTATTTTGAAGGTGGAAAACATCACTACACCGAACAAAAATGTATGCTAAAGTAATTCAAACCAGGGTCATATATCTTCGAACGTTTCAACTCTCCGGACCTTGACAATCCTTTCACCACTTAAGGCTAGCCAAGCTGAAGCTCTTCTACTTGTAATTTAGCCAATAAATAAAGCAACAAATATTAATTAGCGCAAACAAAACCAACAGCATCCGCATGGCCGTGGTTTTTGCAGTGAAACATGGCCCAAAACCGATGGAGAAATGGCCAAGCAACAGTGAAGCAAATGTAAATAAAAAATGTGGAGTGAAAGAGAGCCATCAAGAGAGAGAGAGAGATGTGCTGCGAAAGCCGGCCCGCCCCATTTCATCTGCCCACGCAACCACCCATCATAGCGCCCACTTACCCCATAGATCCCGTACTCCCTGCGAATGTATCCAATAGTTTGTGGTGCCAACCGGGCGACTTTCCTGGGCGCCCACGCAGACCAGCAGGTGACGCTGATTCGACGATGTCCTCAGAGCGTTGGCGTTGCACTCAAATGCGGAAAGCGACAGCGAAAAGCTTTTCCGAGGGCGGATAATAAACACGGATACTGCGTTCCTGCTGCGACATTTGCAATTTCTTAATTGGGTAAATGCCGTAAATACATAACTGCTGTTTATGCACCCTCAATTAAGTTGTTAAATTTTAAACTGCAAAATTAAAATAATAAAAAACTTTTTCATATTTCTGTATTAATTTTTGATAAAATAAATGCATTTAAAAAATGGTTTAGAATCATGACTATTGAGGTAACAGCATTATCACAAACTAAATGATTATAAATTCTTATATTACCATCAAAAAAATGTAATTTCCAATTTTAATTTGTGGGTAAACAAAAATGAAGACTACAAAACTCTTTTCCAACCACACTCATAAAAAAAAATCGAAGAATTTCCTTAAAATCTAGAAAATTCTTTCTTGAATTTTTGCCAAAGGCGACCTCACCTTTGTTTTAAGAAATGGTTTTTTTGAAAGGCACCATTAAAACAAGAAAAATATTTCTTGTTTTAAGAAATTAAATTTCTTAAAACAAGAAAGGGTTTTTTAGAAAGCCACCATAAAAACAAGAAAAAATATTTCTTAAAACAAGAAAGGCGATTCTTGTTTCAAAGGTGGTTTGTTTCTTGTTTCAAGAAATTAAATTTCTTAAAACAAGAAAGGGTTTTTTAGAAAGGCACCTTTTAAACAAGAAAAATTCTTTCTTGTTTAAATTTCCTTTCAAGAAATTTTATTTCTTGATTTAAGAAATAATATTTCTTGAAAGGAAGTTTTATATTAACACTGAAACCCTAAAAATAAAATGTAACTTAGTTTTTTCTTTTGCATATTATATTTATTTACATTTAAAACATTTAACACTTAACATTTAAACATTTTTAAATAACACATTTTTGACTCAAGAAAACATTATTATTACCCAAGGTCTGTTGAACTTCATATGACCTACGGTGATCCATTTTCTTCGCCTTTCCTCATCTATAAAAAAAGAGTTATTGGGATATCAATGATTTGTTTTTAGATAAACAACTTTTTTGAAATAATGTAATGTTAATAATAGCCAAAATACAAACACGTTGGACAGACGACCGAGAGAGAGGAGCAAGACAGGTAGAAAATGAAGGGTTGAAAATCGAATTTCAGAGAGAGAGAGAGGCACGGGAGAGACACGTACATACATACATATATATTTACATACAGTCCCTTGCGCGAAGGGAGACCGAATGTAAGCAGGGCAGATCGTGTCAGTTTTAAGAAGGAGAAGAGAGAAACGTCGCGACGCGTAGGTCAAGCGAGCGAGAGAGAGGAGCAGAATATGAAAGGGTTGAAAATCGGGTTTCAGATCGGGTGAGCCGCGTACATGCATAGATATTTACATGCATACATAAGTATGTCAAACAAATACAACATATTTTTCTTACCTTAGAAGGTTTTAAAACAAAATTACAGCTTCGACAAACAAATTATTTGGCTGATGCAACTGCAGGTATTTTCACTCTGAAAAATAAATAAAATGCGAGTAATAAGATAAAGTTATTATAGAACTGTACACCCACAAATTTATGTACAAATGTATGTATGTACGTAGCTCTTAGCTAAAAAACAATTCACCTAAATTGGTATACGCTTGGTAAAGAGATTTGAAATGTATCCTTTAATTACATACAAACAATTGTACGCCCGCTATACAAAAAATTATATACATATTTACATACCTTTGAATATTCGGAAAAAGGCTTCACCTCTTATGCGCTTGAAAATCACGTCCATCACTCACGAATTTTTTTCACAACTGACGCTCGGGGGATCAGAGAAGTCGGTAGCCGGGTAGGCCCTTCGTCCCACTTCGTTTTTCTTGTCGTTAACATTCGGCAGCCGAAGGAAGTCAATGGCTACTTTCCTATATTCTAGGGTCATTTCATTCATATATTCAAAGGTGATTTTGTCATTAAATACGTACAAAAATGTTTTGGCTGCGACGGCAAAACAAACATATGAGATTTTCATTTTTCTATTTTTAAGAAAAATTCGTTCTTGAATTTTTTCCATCAAGAAAGGTTTTCTGTATTCAAAGGACAATTTTCTAATAACAAGAAATTTTTTTTCTATTTTCAAAGGTAGGCCGATTCAATGGCGAGATTTCCAAAATTTAGAAATTAATTTTTATGAGTGCAAAAGACCAGCAAAAGTTACAATTAATATTGTTAAAAAAATAATTCAAAAATTGTCGTTTTGACGTTTTTTGGCAATCTTTAAAAAACTCGAATTCAAAGAATTATTTTTTTTTGCCAAATAGTAGGTATATGTAAAAGTAAAAGGTGTTCGGTTTGTAAAAGAACGGCCCAGTAAAAAGAACAAAACATTTGTGATTATTCGAAAGGGAATGACAATGAGTTAAAAATGTGGCCAAGCGGCTAAGGCAACAGCAATTTCGTAACTCAAATTTTATAGCAAAGACTTTACAAACATCGCTTAAGTGGCGGCGTAGGTGTCCACTCAATGGATCCCTTAATCAACCAATCAAGTCAAGACAAACAAACAAAGGGGGGAAAATGCACAGGCCAAAGGACAAGTGCAATTTCCTAATCAACAAGAATGCCGCATTCAAGAAAATTGTTTGCACAATCCGACAGGCCAGACATATCACTTAGTGCCCGAGCATCACTCAATTTGTCCCTGTTTGCCAACGGCTAACGGCCAAAGGACAAGAGGACACGAGGAGCTGCTCCCACGACATTTTCAAATGGGCTCATCACACGACGCATTTGTTTATTCAATAATTCATTCGAGTGGATGTGGATGTGGATGTGGAACTGGATCTGGATCTACAGCCGGGGTGATTCATATGTGGCGTCGCAGAAAGGACATCACACGCAGCTTGGCCAGATTCATCTGCACGCTGTCCGTTACCCGGATGCTGGCCAAATCCTCCACATGCGAGTGGCCTGTGGCACGTGGCACAAAACTAAGCGGGGTCTCTCAATCATTTGTGAAGGACATGGACTCACCCGTCAGGACAATAGCCTGTTGGCCCTTTTGCTGGCCCAGAGCACGCCACGGATCCAGTTGGCCATGCGTGAAGATTACCTGAGCATAACGCTCGCTCTGATTGAACCCGTTTCCGCCGAATTTCCTATTCGTCTGCTCAACGCCGTCGGCCAATTTCTGGGCCGTCTGCTCCGTTCCGAACGCATCGTGGCAAAGTTTTTCGAAGTAGGACAAGGGCACCTGATTGGCAAAGGCTTCGTTCGCAGAGGATTTCGATTTTGTGGTCGTGTACCAGCCAAATTCATTGCAGGTTTGGTAGAACCAAGCACGAGCTAATAGAAAAACAACTATTTATGAAACAATAATTTCGTTTTGCGGTTTTGCTTACTTACTTCCACTACTTTGATCTGCATCCTCGCTGAAAAGTTGCAGCATGGACGAGTAACCAAAGTCCTGGCAATCACTGGAACGCCGGCCTTCCGAATAAAGTAGTTCCAAGAATTTTAAAAAGGCCTCTTCATCATTGGAGTCCAAAGACATTAAAGTCTCACACAGGCGGGGTATATAAGCACTGTGGGGTAATACAAGTTATAAAAAAGGTATTCATAGGTATTATAACCCATACTCACCCATAACTTTGCACTACCAAAGCAAAATAGTTGCCCAGACCATTAAAGAAAGCTGCCCTATCCAGGGTATCCATAGGATTATAGTCCTCGCAGCCATTGAATTTATAAAGCAGCTCCTGAATTTGATTGTCATCGAATAGTTTTACCAAGAATTTTAAACCCTTTTCAATTCTTAAAGAGCAATTGTGACCATAGCTTAGCTGAATGGAATCGCTGACTATTTCCATGTACTCTAAAAATATAATATGTTTCAAGAAAATTTCGTTAAAAATCCCCATCTCACCATAAAAATCCGCCTTGGCCAATAATGGAGCACTGGAAGCCCAACTGGCAGATATTAAATCCGGATACAGTTGAGTCATCCAGGCCACCAAACTTCCCGAATAAGAGCCGCCAACCAAAATGACTTTTGAGTCTTTCATTTTGGGATTTTTCGACTTCTGATGGCGTATAAAGTGAGCCAAGTCAGCTAATGATTGATGGAGATTTAGTTGCTTGAGATTATCCAGTTTAAAACTCTCTTCTCTACATAATGAAAATTACAAATTTAGGAATTATACTTTAATTATTTATTTTTTACTCACCCAAAGGGTAAGCTCAATCCGTAATAGCGATGTTCGGTGTAGAAAAGCATGCCAGAGTTTTCCACAGCCATGTCGTGGGTCAAACCAGTGCTCATTAATCCTGGACTGATGGTCCACTCACCTCCGACAAATATGTAGATGGGTCCTTGGGGATTGTGATATTTCGCATTACGAAAATATCGCTAGAAAGAAATTATAAATTTTTATTATTTGGTAAATAAAATGAACATAAGGTCTTACCATTTTCCAAGTTTTATTGTTGTGTTTATCGAAATGGTCAACTTTTTGGTCCAGCCAAAGTTCCTCAACAGAAGCTACTTCGTTTTTGGTATAAGATCCAGAGATTGGCTCTAGCTTAAGCAATTCCAAACTAAGTTTATAAGGATTATAGGTCGCCAAAAAACTTGGCAGCCAAAGTATTATTTGCACAGCGTAATTTAGCCACTTCATGTTGGGTAACCAATATTCAAATAAATAAATGTAGGTACTGACAATGTTTATATGCAAGCGGTATGCCCCTATTCGAAATACCTATGAATAATTTAATAAAAATGCATAGATATTGTCATGCACTAGGCCAAGGTTAATGCAAAATATTGTTGCAAGAACTGATAATACACCACTTGAATTATTGGTAGTAAAAAGAACGGTGAGCATGATACACATTTATGGCATACATTTTTCATACTTCACCTAAAGATTCCCATTTTATATTCATACCCACGTCCAGTCTCAGTCAAATTTAAGAAGCTTTAAAAATTTTACTACTTTCACCTATTCTAAATTGTCTGGCGGCTTAGCCAAGTTTATCCGGCTCAAAGCCGCTTCAAGCCACCACCTCGTACCCGCAACGTCGCTGAAGAAGAATAAACAAACACCCACTCAAATAAAACCCACCGAAGATACAAAAGTGCAGGCGACACGAAAAAAAAGGAAGCATACAAAAATATTTTTACAGCGCTGACACGGGAAAAAAGGCAACATAAAAATATAAGCACAGCTGTGGGAACAAGCAACAGGAGAATGCACAAAATGTGTAATTGGCATATTACTCATACGCCCCGCATCCAGGACAATGGCGCGCGACGAAGGAGCAGCTCTGCAGTGCAGGATTCCCGCCGTGTCAGCGCGTGTCCTGTGCATTCGAAGCAAAAGGATTGCGGAAGCGAAAGTCAAACTGGGAAAACTTATGAGCAGAACTCTTCCAACATGAAACCACCAGGGTGAAATGGAAAATTCCATGGTTGATTTTTCTTACATTTTTGTCATTCTCTATTAAAGTTCAAAAAAGGGTATAATAATTTGCTAAATAAGTTGGTAAATTTTTAAATATATATTAAGTTTTCGGAATATAAATATTTTTAGATCTTACAATATCCTACATATGTAGATATAATTACCACTTTTTTAATATGATTGTGCTTGAAATTGAGAAAGTGTTATTAATTCGATTATGCTTAATAACCCCAATTTAAATTTATTTAAACAAATTTTTATATTTTTTCCTCCTAGGAATTTAAAATGTTTTAAAATATTTTTATCCAATTTACAGAATTGCGCAGCTTCTACTTCTACTGGGTAACTTGATATACCAGACATTTCAGGATAACAATCCCATTCGCTAGGGGGCTCTTAACAACAATGGGGGCGCTATGAAAAGTTATTATTATTGAGGCTCTTTGTCGCCGTTGACTTCGTCGTCGTCGTTGTTGTTATTCTTCGTCTACTCTTTCCCAGGCAGAAATTGCAAATTGGTTAAATCGTGCAATTGATGTTGAGCCTCTTATTTACCCCAGTTGTTTTTACTACCCTGAGGTTGGGCGTAATGACTGAGAAAAGGATTATCCACCATAAGACCAATCCACGGGGCAGAAAAATGTACCAAAGATTGGCTCGCAAAAATCATCAGCATATAAATAACATTTTACGTGCATGGCAACATTCCACATGTGCTCAAAAGCCACAATCCAATTCGCAACCCGATAGGGTGGCATGCTGTTATTTTATGAATATTTATAAAGGAATTCATTTTTGTGTTATTTTTGGTTGTCAGGAAAAGAATTTAAAATTGCTCTTTGAGGCAAAAGAGAAAATTATTCAATTAAAGGCAACATTGCAGATTTCTTGAATATGTATAACCAATAATTTATCAACTTGTTAAAGAATTAAAGCACCAAAAACATAGATATGTTGGATTAGAATTTGACCATTTAAAAAATGTACTTTCGATTTATTATAAGTACACGGTAGTTTATTACATTAAAAAAGGTAAGATTTCAAATTTCAAATTTTTCAAAATTTTAAATAAATTATTTTACCAAGTCGAATCAATAGAAATTGATTTTTAAATAATATATTTCAAACGCATGTATTTATAATTCGAACAAACAATACACAAATAATTTAGTGCAATAATAATCATATTTTAAAATATATTTCCAACCGTTTTGACACCTTGTTAGCGAGATCTACAGATCATTTAACAGACAATTTAAGTTAAAGACCTACCTTCTTTTATTTAGTGTTGTTTTTACCCCTCATCTGGACTTGGGTTTTTTCATTTTTACGAAAAGCTTTCGTCTGCGAGCATGCGCTTGGAAAAAGGACTCAAATGGAGTGACACTCATAGAAACCCTCCTTGAGAGCTTTTCGCCGCTCTCTGGCTCTAAAGTAACGTCCTTTATGAATGGCCTCCTGTTGCTCGACACATAACAGGTGGCAAGGCTACGAGAGATAGCTTTAATGGAGCTGTTGATTGCTCACCGAAAGTAGAGCCCGAAAGCAGAGACAAGTTCACCCCCCGAAGCATATCGATGGGGCTGTGGCTTGAGTGCCAGCTTTCGAACACCTTGACACTGTGACACACTAAAAAAAGTCGAGGCGAATTTAAATTACTGCGAGAAACACACGAGGACCGTGTCTGGCTCAGGGCTGTTGCCTTGAATTTTGTTTATGGTCCGAAGTGGATTAGCTTGGCTCTATGCTTCTGGAATTGGAACCACCAGCAAGTGGCTTTGCCTCTTCTCAGCTTATATTCCGCCTTGTAAAGTGTAAAATTAATGGTTAATGTGCCCAGAATTAAACCGGAGTGGGGGTTCCTTGCCTATCATAACATTTTCTGTAAATTAACTAATTAAAGTATAAATTGTTAAGCGACACTGTCATTTAAAAGATTGCACAATTTTTTAAGAGAGTGTAGTTTAATAAACAAGAATAATCTTAATGATTAGGCAAAAAGCTTTAAAGAAATTTTACTTCATAAGTGTTAAGCCAATTAAAAAAGGTTTTATATTACCTGAAAGTAATGTTTATATATTATGTCCTTAAAAGTCGCATTGTTTAAGTTTCTGTCCATTTATTAGCATACCATCCAACTCGGAAGGGAGCACATTTCACATTTTAAAGTTCATTTCACAACAAGTTTAAATCGATAATTAAACTGAAAAGTTATCCTTGTCCCTTGGGATTCGTATCCAACCAACTTTGTCCACTTTTCAAATTCAGAATTATAATTTAATAAGTGCTCCAACTCGCTCTGGGCGATGAGCAGCCCTGCTGATGCTCCTCGGTGGCTGCTTAATTAGCCGTGGGTTGGTCTTTTTCCAGTTGGCCAGCGCACTCTAATTGTGAAGGTGGGTGGCAAAGTCAAACTGTTTTTCCAAGAAAAATTGAAACGATATCTGCACTGCAGAACTTCCAGGACTTTCTTTGTTCAAGCTCTCAATAATATGTATTCATTTTATCGTCCTTTCTCATGCTCATTAGGAACTATTAATATAATGGTTCGCATTGTGTCGAGTGGGTTTAAAATTAAAAACAAACTTAATATTAAATTCATTGTTTGCACTTTTCGTTAACATATTATAATACCTTAAAATAGAAATTATTTAATTTGTTTGGACACACAGTTTCGGTGTTTTATGCCAATTCATTGAATAGTTTAAAACATTTTTGACGGTACCAAATAACAATCATAAAAGCTTTCGAAATTAAAGTGCCAATTTTAGATTTGCTCTACTTTTGTAGTATTTCTTGTGTGAATTGTTAAAATAATTCGCTAAAATTCTTTTTTTAGATTTAATAATTCTAGGAGGTATCAGATGGTTTGGAAATGGTATGTGGCGGTGAAACATCAGCCGGTAAATTCAGCAGATTGCTAGCAGATTTCTGCTGATTCTTTTTCTTAGCTGGTTTCTTGGTTTTACTTATGCCCTGATGATCAGAGTTTTTAGGATTTGTGTTTTGGCAATTCACATGGTTTGAATTAATATTTGTCTCCTGTGCGGGCGGCTCTTGTTCAACACTATTCTGTTTCTTCTGTGTATTAAAAGGTTTGGTAATTTGCCGATTTTGGCCATTCTGTTTATAATACTGCATGCACTTTGGCGGTTTTAATTTATTGGGATGAATATTTGTACTAGTTTGCTGAGGAGGTTGTTGATAAGGATTCTGCCCATTCTTTTTAATGAAATATGAATGATTTTGTTTTTTTGAATTTTGATTTGGCTGCTGAGGACTAGAGTTTTGATGGAATGTTTGTTTTGTACTTTGTAGGTTCGTGTGTGGGGAATTCTTTGGTATCCATCTTGGTCTACATCCATTTTGTTGCGTGCTCGCTTCAGCTGCGTTACCATCTATCTTCTGATGCGGATTTTGTGGGGTTCCTTGAGGCCTTGGTCCGCGACCTTGTGGCTTCTTCGCTTGATTATTACTGGGCGGAGTGTTTTTTATCGATATCTTAGCTAACTTATCAAGTACTTTTTGTTGCTCGCGCTCCCTTTTCTTATAATGCCAATGGTAATATAGGTGGGCCTTTAGATCGAGAAGCGAATCGGGGGCAAAGTCGCACTGGTTACACATCAGGGGCTTCGACAGTAGGTTGTCTACTAACGATTTTGGCAGTCGTGAAAAGCAATCGTCCTTTTCCAGCTGAGCGCAGAATTCTATTAAGTTCAATTCATAAATTAATAATGATTTTCTTGTTTACTTTAAGGAAAGTGTTTAAAAATTAGGGTTTCTAAGAAAGAATTTGAATACTTTTTTCTAAAACAAATATAAATACAATCTATTCAATTGAAAAACTAAAATATAAGCCTTTTAGGGGGAGAAAATCAAAATGAAAACCCATTTTTCCCCTGGCAAACTTACTGTCAAATGGCACAAAAAGTTCGGTGTTGTGGCAGTTCCAGTGTTTCTTGGTCTTCATGCGTGGAGATACGAAGTCCTTAGAGATGACATGCAAATGGAGCCTTTGCAAGCTGGGCTCTGCGTGGAATCCCACCTGGAAGTCCTCCCAGGGCACTTCTTTCGCCGCCACCTCCACAACCTTCCGTGCCAGAAGATACATCTCATTCAAAAGCGGCAGATGGCACCGGTCCAACTGAAAGATTCCAAAAAACACATTAAGATATATTGGCTTTCGAGGATCTAGTAGTATTCTTACTCACATAAAAGATGCTGGGAATGTCGGCCAATGGGAGTACCAGGTAGTGATGCTTCGCCTTGGGGTACTTGTCCGCCATTACTACCCCGAATTCCGATGATATTATCCAGCATTCGGGTTTTTTCATATCTTTAATTAATCCATATTGCCAAGACATGTCAAGTTCTGTTTTTTTCTTGGATTTCAGTAGCATGGTTAAAAATATATTAAAAACAATAACACAATCAGCTGACTATCTAAATAGTGATGGAAAACAGAACATCGCGGCTAGAGATGGAACTTTTTAATGTACGACAAATTATCGTCGATGAGTTAGCAATGAAAGTGGAACGGTGGAATGTGGTACATTGGGGCTATCTATATTTTTAAATCCGTATTTAGGGGGACTAATCGAAAAGTGTTTAAAAAATTGTTTATAAGAAAAATATATATCAATCTAGATAGGCTGTGGGCCAAATCGGAGGTCTACAAGTGTTTTAAAAATGCATTTGAAAAATCGGGTATCCACCCACTGGCTCCCCTCACGAGGGTTGTGCCAATATGCACAAAGTGCCATTATGCAAAAGCGTTAATTCAAGTGAACAATCCTCGAGTTTTCCCTAAACAAAATGGGAGCCAAAAATAAATTTGCCTACGGCTCCACTCGTAGAAGTTGTGCCAACATGCACGGTGTTTGGCCAGATTTGGGGCCTTGAGAACGTTTCGTGCAAGTTTCATAAAAATTAAACCCACAGTTTTTGCTATATTTGCTATAGCATTTGGAGCATTTGTAGATGGAGCATTTGCAATTGGAGCATTTACAATTACAATTGGAGCATTTTGCGACTGGAGCATTTTGTGACTGGAGCATTTTGCGACTGGAGCATTTTGTGACTGGAGCATTTTGCGACTGGAGCATTTTGTGACTGGAGCATTTTGCGAGTGGAGCATTTTGCCAATGGAGCATTTTGCGAATGGAGCATTTTGCCAATGGAGCATTTTGCGACTGGAGCATTTTGAGACTGGAGCATTTTGGTGACTGGAGCATTTTGGTGACTGGAGCATTTTGCGACTGGAACATTTTGCCAATGGAGCATTTTGAGACTGGAGCATTTTGCCAATGGAGCATTTTGAGACTGGAGCATTTTGCCAATGGAGCATTTTGCGAATGGAGCATTTTGCCAACTGGAGCATTTTGCGACTGGAGCATTTTTAGACTGGAGCATTTTGAGACTGGAGCATTTTGCGACTGGAGCATTTTGCCAATGGAGCATTTTGCCAATGGAGCATTTTGCCAATGGAGCATTTTGCCAATGGAGCATTTTGCCAATGGAGCATTTTGCCAATGGAGCATTTTGAGACTGGAGCATTTTGCCAATGGAGCATTTTGCGAATGGAGCATTTTGCCAACTGGAGCATTTTGCTAATGGAGCATTTTGAGACTGGAGCATTTTGCCAATGGAGCATTTTGAGACTGGAGCATTTTGCCAATGGAGCATTTTGCCAATGTAGCATTTTGGTGACTGGAGCATTTTGCGACTGGAGCATTCTGCGACTGGGGCATTCTGCGACTGGAGCATTTTGAGACTGGAGCATTTTGAGACTGGAGCATTTTGAGACTGGAGCATTCTGCGAGTGGAGCATTCTGCGACTAGAACATTTTGGTGACTGGAGCATTTTGGTGACTGGAGCATTTTGCGACTGGAGCATTTTGAGACTGGAGCATTTTGGTGACTGGAGCATTTTGGTGACTGGAGCATTTTGCGACTGGAGCATTTTGCGACTGGAGCATTCTGCGACTGGAGCATTCTGCGACTGGAGCATTCTGCGACTGGAGCATTCTGCGACTGGAGCATTCTGCGACTGAAGCATCCTGCGACTGGAGCATTTTGAGACTGGAGCATTCTGCGACTGGAGCATTCTGCGACTGGAGCATTTTGGTGACTGGAGCATTTTGCGACTGGAGCATTCTGCGACTGGAGCATTCTGCGACTGGAGCATTTTGAGACTGGAGCATTTTGGTGACTGGAGCATTTTGGTGACTGGAGCATTCTGCGACTGGAGCATTCTGCGACTGGAGCATTCTGCGACTGGAGCATTTTGGTGACTGGAGCATTTTGAGACTGGAGCATTTTGCGACTGGAGCATTTTGCGACTGGAGCATTCTGCGACTGGAGCATTCTGCGACTGGAGCATTTTGAGACTGGAGCATTCTGCGACTGGAGCATTCTGCGACTGAAGCATTTTGCGACTGGAGCATTTTGAGACTGGAGCATTTTGAGACTGGAGCATTTTGCGACTGGAGCATTTTGCGACTGGAGCATTCTGCGACTGGAGCATTCTGCGACTGGAGCATTTTGAGACTGGAGCATTCTGCGACTGGAGCATTCTGCGACTGAAGCATTTTGCGACTGGAGCATTTTGAGACTGGAGCATTTTGAGACAGGAGCATTTTGAGACTGGAGCATTCTGCGACTGGAGCATTCTGCGACTGGAGCATTTTGAGACTGGAGCATTCTGCGACTGGAGCATTCTGCGACTGGAGCATTTTGGTGACTGGAGCATTTTGCGACTGGAGCATTCTGCGACTGAAGCATTCTGCGACTGGAGCATTTTGCCAATGGAGCATTTTGCGACTGGAGCATTTTGCGACTGTAGCATTTTGCTATGGAGCATTTTGCGACTGGAGCATTTTGAGACTGGAGCATTTTGGTGACTGGAGCATTATGGTGACTGGAGCATTTTGGTGACTGGAGCATTCTGCGACTGGAGCATTCTGCGACTGGAGCATTTTGAGACTGGAGCATTCTGCGACTGGAGCATTCTGCGACTGGAGCATTCTGCGACTGGAGCATTCTGCGACTGGAGCATTCTGCGACTGGAGCATTCTGCGACTGGAGCATTCTGCGACTGGAGCATATTGCGACTGGAGCATTTTGAGACTGGAGCATTTTGAGACTGGAGCATTTTGAGACTGGAGCATTTTGAGACTGGAGCATTCTGCGACTGGAGCATTTTGAGACTGGAGCATTTTGGTGACTGGAGCATTTTGGTGACTGGAGCATTTTGCGACTGGAGCATTTTGCGACTGGAGCATTCTGCGACTGGAGCATTCTGCGACTGGAGCATTCTGCGACTGGAGCATTTTGGTGACTGGAGCATTTTGGTGACTGGAGCATTTTGCGACTGGAGCATTTTGCGACTGGAGCATTCTGCGACTGGAGCATTCTGCGACTGGAGCATTCTGCGACTGGAGCATTCTGCGACTGGAGCATTTTGGTGACTGGAGCATTTTGCGACTGGAGCATTTTGAGACTGGAGCATTCTGCGACTGGAGCATTCTGCGACTGGAGCATTTTGAGACTGGAGCATTTTGGTGACTGGAGCATTTTGGTGACTGGAGCATTTTGCGACTGGAGCATTTTGCGACTGGAGCATTCTGCGACTGGAGCATTCTGCGACTGGAGCATTCTGCGACTGGAGCATTTTGGTGACTGGAGCATTTTGGTGACTGGAGCATTTTGCGACTGGAACATTTTGCCAATGGATCATTTTGAGACTGGAGCATTTTGCCAATGGAGCATTTTGAGACTGGAGCATTTTGCCAATGGAGCATTTTGCGAATGGAGCATTTTGCCAACTGGAGCATTTTGCGACTGGAGCATTTTTTAGACTGGAGCATTTTGAGACTGGAGCATTTTGCGACTGGAGCATTTTGCCAATGGAGCATTTTGCCAATGGAGCATTTTGCCAATGGAGCATTTTGCCAATGGAGCATTTTGCCAATGGAGCATTTTGCCAATGGAGCATTTTGCCAATGGAGCATTTTGAGACTGGAGCATTTTGCCAATGGAGCATTTTGCGAATGGAGCATTTTGCCAACTGGAGCATTTTGCTAATGGAGCATTTTGAGACTGGAGCATTTTGCCAATGGAGCATTTTGAGACTGGAGCATTTTGCCAATGGAGCATTTTGAGACTGGAGCATTTTGCCAATGTAGCATTTTGGTGACTGGAGCATTTTGCGACTGGAGCATTCTGCGACTGGGGCATTCTGCGACTGGAGCATTTTGAGACTGGAGCATTTTGAGACTGGAGCATTTTGAGACTGGAGCATTCTGCGAGTGGAGCATTCTGCGACTAGAACATTTTGGTGACTGGAGCATTTTGGTGACTGGAGCATTTTGCGACTGGAGCATTTTGAGACTGGAGCATTTTGGTGACTGGAGCATTTTGGTGACTGGAGCATTTTGCGACTGGAGCATTTTGCGACTGGAGCATTCTGCGACTGGAGCATTCTGCGACTGGAGCATTCTGCGACTGGAGCATTCTGCGACTGGAGCATTCTGCGACTGAAGCATTCTGCGACTGGAGCATTTTGAGACTGGAGCATTCTGCGACTGGAGCATTCTGCGACTGGAGCATTTTGGTGACTGGAGCATTTTGCGACTGGAGCATTCTGCGACTGGAGCATTCTGCGACTGGAGCATTTTGAGACTGGAGCATTTTGGTGACTGGAGCATTTTGGTGACTGGAGCATTCTGCGACTGGAGCATTCTGCGACTGGAGCATTCTGCGACTGGAGCATTTTGGTGACTGGAGCATTTTGAGACTGGAGCATTTTGCGACTGGAGCATTTTGCGACTGGAGCATTCTGCGACTGGAGCATTCTGCGACTGGAGCATTTTGAGACTGGAGCATTCTGCGACTGGAGCATTCTGCGACTGAAGCATTTTGCGACTGGAGCATTCTGCGACTGGAGCATTCTGCGACTGGAGCATTTTGAGACTGGAGCATTTTGAGACAGGAGCATTTTGAGACTGGAGCATTCTGCGACTGGAGCATTTTGAGACTGGAGCATTCTGCGACTGGAGCATTCTGCGACTGGAGCATTTTGGTGACTGGAGCATTTTGCGACTGGAGCATTCTGCGACTGAAGCATTCTGCGACTGGAGCATTTTGCCAATGGAGCATTTTGCGACTGGAGCATTTTGCGACTGTAGCATTTTGCTATGGAGCATTTTGCGACTGGAGCATTTTGAGACTGGAGCATTTTGGTGACTGGAGCATTATGGTGACTGGAGCATTTTGGTGACTGGAGCATTCTGCGACTGGAGCATTCTGCGACTGGAGCATTTTGAGACTGGAGCATTCTGCGACTGGAGCATTCTGCGACTGGAGCATTCTGCGACTGGAGCATTCTGCGACTGGAGCATTCTGCGACTGGAGCATTCTGCGACTGGAGCATATTGCGACTGGAGCATTTTGAGACTGGAGCATTTTGAGACT